TAAATGCACCACTCTGCACAAATTAAAACGGGCCTTTCTGGAGGCTGCTGCTTGTATTGAAAGTGTTTTACTTATAGCCATTCAGTTTTGCTTGGGCTGAAATCCATTTAGTAAACATGTTTTGTGCTATATGTATTTATCATATTAAATGGCCAAACTAGCTTTGTTTGTTTATGACTCAGCTAAATTATTTTCAGCATAGACCCAAACACATGAATATGATATATAGTTCTACAGAAAGTTAACTTCAATAAAAAACTATTACCTGTATTTGTATACAACAGATGCAGGGTGCATTTAAGTATGACTTTAGCTTGTAGAAGCAATGGAGCTTAGCGCTGCCAATAGTGAAACCCCCACACCAAAATCTTTTGAGGATTTTGTAAACTTCAAGAGGATTTCAATTCATTAAACTGTGTGTTCTGTCAGAAATCTCACTCTAAATAATGGACCTACAGTAAGTCTAATTCTGCTGTTCTTCTGCTTCACCTGTATATTACCACAGTGAACCGTTTTTTTATTTAACCCCCTTTACCCCCTCGCAGACTTATCACTTGTTTCCGGCAACTGCAGCCTCTTGTAAGTCAAATTGATTGAGTCGTCCTTGAACATCTGTTGTTCTGCCAAGCCTCAAAGGTAATCTCGCTAATGGCCCTCTAAGCTATCCACATAAACACACACATAAATAAAAAATGTTTCCAACGAGATTTGGTCATTGACTTGCTGCTAATCAATTCTGCAGCTGCATCTGTTGATGAAGGTTTGGGAAGTACAGAGCAAGAAATATGTAGCGATCAATGCCTGACACTGCACTGGCTAGGCAATGAGTGACAGTCACAGCTCCACCGGGAGTCAACATTTACACGCAGATGGACCGGGCCCGTCGGATGTCTTGGCAAAAGGCTGCTGCACTACGCTCACAACAGTGAAACATTGACCAACAGAATGTTGTCCATCAACAACACAAGATTGGAAATTACGGGCTCGCATGAAGCTGAGTCGGTAAAGTGAAGAAGTGGCGTTCCATAATTTGAGCTCTGGCACAGACTGATATGACTGCTGTTGGATGGATGCCACCTCAGAAAGCTGGTTTCAAGATGGTTTAAAAAAAAAAGGGAAAACGGGGCTTTTCAAATGGCAAGGTACATTTTTTATATTTTGTCATTGCTTTAAGATAACTTCTATGGTGTTGGGGCTTTGTTATTGTATCCAGGATGTACACGTTCAGCTCAACAAGAGGACAGAAGTGATGATTTCCAAAACGGAACAACATGCTAAACAAAGGCTGAGGTCACACATGCAGTACAGTAGAGGCATCAAAATGTTGCACTATTACTTATCACAGCCCTATCCTGCATTCGTTATGTTTATGATGTGCTGCCATATAGAGAATGATAATCACATCATTGCTGTGCAGACAGTAGCCGACAGCATGGCTCTCTACATTTGACCAAACGCAAAAAGGGCCGAAACGTACCAGCTGCCTCAACACGACACTCGTAGGGAGGGAGTCGGAAATTACAGCTAGAGAAATATCTGACAGATCAAGCTAGGGTTTTTTGGATAACTCCTGCTGCCAAGCAATATTCATACATTTAATTTCCAATCTGCTCTCCTTTTATTAGTTTGGGTGTTATTAAATGAGATTGCTTCATCTTAATATATTTCCAGGGTCTGCGAATGTGGCTAGGAGTTGATATTCAAATTCAATAACATGGCCTGTACTTAGTGCATGGCACTAATAAAGGCCAACGTATGATGCATATGAGGATGGGGCTCAGCGTGGAAGTCGCAGCGGACAATAATAATGCTGTGAATTTCATTCAGAGGTGAGATATGCCTCTCTCCAGCCCTGTACTCAGCTGCTCATATATGCCTGAAGAAGCCCAGGTGACCTATATACAGAGATAGGCAGGATGGGAGTGCTCAAGAGAGGAAATACATCGAATTCATATTTCCATGTATTTTATTAAGTTGATGAGACAAATCCCCGAAGAATGTAGGCACTAGTTTTGGCCCCGTACGTCAGAGAGAGAACTGTGTACATCACAACTACTTGACTGACCTTTAACCTCTCCATTGGACGCTGGAGGAGGCCGACCTGTTACACACATCTTTGAACAGACATCTGTATTGTTTGGTGTAGGAGAGAGATAAACAAATGATCAAGGAGCTACAGTATGTAGTAGTGGCGCCTGGTTACAGTGTCTCACCTCTTGGCCTCTGCGTGGTTGAAACTTGGCGTCCCAACCTTTTTTTCTATTTTATCGCTGTAACCTGACAACTGCTTTTGCAAAGATTGCAGCTTAGGAAGCTTAGCTGCAGCAGCAAGTGACCTTTACTTTTATTATGAATATTTCTTTTTCCTCATTATTATAGAGTGAAATCTATGCATATGATCAGCACAATGGATTTCTTTTTCATTAGTTGTGTAAAATGCCACTCAATGAATGGAGGGGCAGCCGGGGCGGCCCGCCAGATTGCCCCTCTCCCCCAGTGGAGGGATTTGACAATTGGAATTAATATGCGTGGAGCTTTCCCTCTCCATTTGTTGGCTGAGGCTCTCCAGGAAACTTTATCAGGGGTAACATTATCGAGAGCTTTGCCAAGAGCTTCTTCATCATGCTCACATCCGAGCCTGCCCAACACTTGTCACTGTCAATCACAAGGTGATAATACACCGATGATTCTCTCATTTGGTTTCATAAAATCTCCAGGCTTATTTGAACTGCAGTCATTACAGCAAATAATTGCTGCATTGAGGTTTTAGCCAGGCCATAGCCTCAGGGATAAGGAAAGACTATTGCTATATGAAGGATTTGGCTGATGTTTTTTTTTTGTATTCTTTACTCCCCAGTTGTTCATATTTCTAAAATGAATATTACATTTGAATCTAGATGTGGCTTTCTTTATTCAAACTAACATTGTTATTACATATTATCTGGATGTGGAATCATCTTTTTTCACTTTTTTATGTCGGGTGCTGTGAAGACAGGTTTCACCCGGGACTGCCAATTGTAATTTTTAACTGTCATTTAAACCCAATTGTAGGCCTGAATCAGTGGGCCTAAAAGTCTCTGAAGAAATGGACTCACAGAAGGGAACATATTTCATGTTAAATTTGAATTCCAGCTGAAGGCAGGCAATGCTCCTGAAGCCACTATATATAAATCTTTCAGACAGGAAAAATCTGACAGTAAAAATATCCCATTACATCATTGATCTACATTGCAAATATAAAAAGGGATCTGATGCTGATATTTAAATGCGTACACTAGATTTGCTGTAGTGTAGCTCCCAACTGCACATTAGCACCTGTCAATACAGATGTTTTTTTTAAATAATCTGTACTGCTTATATATATATATATATATATATTTTAATTTTAATAAAGCTTAATGCCCAGGAATTGTATGTTATTTGACCTCCCCCAAAATAGCAGTTGCTGTAAAATCTCCAGTATAAAGGAAACCCAACTCCAACGGGTCACATATTCAATTAGTTAATCCAATCTCCCCACTTTAATTACATTCATTAGTGTATTTGTTTGACCAAACAAGGTCACAATAGTTGATTAGATAAAGAATCAATGGCAAAAAAACCTCATTACAAAAGCAATGGTGTGAATATTTGCACCCTTGTTTGTGTCAGACAGTTTATCTCAATGTCGATGAAGGCAAACCAGGCATAAACTTATTTGTTTTGAGGTGATCTTTGATTTGTACATGTCAAAAGAGTGATGGTGACCTTGCACTGTTGGCTGCCCCAATGAAGCAGCAGGACACTAATTACCTTTGTCAGTGAAGTGTACTTGGAACAATATACAATCAGATAACAATAATGGAGTCAATAATTTGTATTTACTCTGAAACTTGGACAATGTCATTCCTCCCAATTAATGCAATCACCCATGCATTAAATTAGTTTTTTTTTCCCCACCCAGAAAAATAATTAGGGGTAATTGTTAGGAAATCAATCAATCAGCAGAATGAACTGCCAATGAAGCGTGGTCAAAACTAAAGAAATGTGTGACACAGATGGCTTGGATGCGTCTTATCCTCAAGGGACTATGGCTGTCTAGTACACTGAAACATTCAAATTCAGGCAATAGAAAAGTGTGTATCATTTTCTTATTTATCAGAGTGCCCGAAGCACATTTGGGGGGAACTCAACAGATAATGTATAAAATGAAAAGACACCAAAAAAAAAAGACATTGATCTCATGATCTAGAGGGAAAAGGCTATGAAAAAATAAAAATGCTACATTAATATTCAAAATACATACATGTATGAATTTGGACTTAAATGTAAAGTTAAATGTGTAACAGTAGCTCTATTAACACTATTTATTCAACCTTTAATAATGTAGACGATTCATATGATAAATATGAAATATTTCAAACATGAACCACCCCAAAGAAAACAGCAATGTTGATTTTCTTAAAGAAATGGGTCAGTACAATTTGGGGAAATAAATTAACTATTAAAAAACAGACACAACAGACATTCAGAACAACTTAACTTTTTCAAAGCAACTTAATTAAAACACGGTCAACATGACAGGTTGGCCGCAGGGTTATGGACAATATAACCAATAGACATTTAATTCACAGCAGACATCTCACGTCATGTCAGGTGTCATCATCAACAACTACTGCATTCCTTTTAGAATAGCTACTTTCAATGTCCCTCGCATTAGTTCCGCTTGTGCTTTGTCTGCTGAGTCAAATGTCTGCTGTTAAAAACATTTATTCATTGTAAAATAAAATAAAACAAAAATAAAATCATCATATTTTTCTTTCTTTCTTCTTTTTTAAAATACAAAATAGAGCAACTGCGCTTACGGTTTGATTGACTGCAAACCATGGTTCCATCGGCTAGTTTTTCCCTGTCACGTGATGGAAGAACCAGCGAATCAAATATGAGACGTTTATCCTGTAGACCAATAAGAATCCGTAGCCATGCACCGAAACGCCCCATCACTAAGTTAGATTGAACTCTGGTTTCTGTCAAATTATTTAGCTAGCCGATGTTAGCCAGTTAGCCGGTATGACACTTAAAGTAATGACGAACAGCTGAGCATTTTCAGCGAAAATTACACCGGGACACACGTTAACATCGCTGTTAAAAGGGTCTTTTACAGCTCTCTGTCAAATACGGTGAGTTACATCATTAAGTTTTTGTCTCGCAAGGTTTAAATTTAAGAAGTAACGTTAGTCAATTTGTTGGCAACGCTAAAGGTAGCATTGCAAGCTAATGCTATATATATAATGTTAACCTCAAATGAGTTCAGGAAACGGTTGTGACAACCTCAGTGTGTGGATATTAACTAGTCTTAGCCTTTGTACGAGTATTTAGTTAGACTTTAAGCTGTAAGCTAACGTTTAGTTAGTTAGTTTTACGTCAACCACATAATGTAGGTGTATAGGGTTTGCTAACGTAACGTTAGCACTGTTATGGCGACTGATACGATAACTCGATATCCTGTCAGAAATGCCACAATATTAATAGCATGTTTTATTGCAGTTTTAACACGGATCTCTTGTGCTTTCACCCTACGACAACCTACATTAGTTAGTCCGCTACACAACCGACTTTTCAAACGTTGATGGCAGTAAAACTGCTAGCATACTTCATGAAACAGCCAAGTTAGCACAAAGCTAAGCTATCCCAAACAAGACTGAGTCAACGTTATGACGATAGTTGTTAACCCTTCCCACATTGTACTCCATCAGCACCTATAAATATTGCTATAGTGTTGGCTAGATGACATGAGATCAGTATGAAGTACTTGATTGTGTGTTTACAAGTTGTTTGTGTGCATTCGACCTGAACTACAGCAGCAGTCACTTGTTTCAAGTGTCTTTTTTTCCCCCCCATCACAGTAGCGGATGGCCCGGACAGCACTTGTCGTGGGACCGACATAGAGAGAGGGACACCATTCTGAACCTCTGAATGAGTAATGAACTTAAACCCCTTCTGGAGCATGTCTGCCAATACGAGTCGAAAGGTAAAGTTAAAGACATTGAACTGTAATATGTTACATAATTTTCATATGACGGGCTAGACATTGAACTTATTTTACATTTTTATGAACATGGTAGCTATGAAAGTATGCATCATACTTTCACTATCCAAATAAGACTCAAGTTATTTTATATTGATGAATATGTATTGATCATATGCTGACAATGTTGTATGGCATCATCAGTAAATTTGATATGGCTGTTGAAAAACTAGGGGAGATTAAACTGACTTGTGAATTTCTCCCAATTAAGCAGAATACTATATAGTAAATGGACTGTACTTGTATAGAGCCTTTCTAGTCCTCCTGCCACTCAAAGCGTTTTCACACTAGATGTCGTCATTTATACACATTCATACACCAGCTCAGCCTGTGGGAGCACTTTTGAGGTAAAGTGTACCCGAGAACACATCAACATGGACTAGCGGAGCCAGGGAGTCGAACCGCCGGTCTTCTGATTGAAGGACGACCCTGCTCTACCACTGAGCAGTCGCCCCTATATATATCAGTGTCAACACTCCGCACATATGAAGAATTTTAGACAACAATCATTTTATATTTGACAGAGCTGGTTCATTTTCAGTTTAGTTAATAGTGTTTCTTTTGAGCAACCTTTTTATGTGTTAGCTGTCTTTGTCTGCACATGTTTCCACTTGTATTTATTTTCCTAGGAAGTGCAGTGAACTGGAATTATTAATACTTCAGTTTAGAGTGTTCTACTCATTTTTGGAAAGAAAATGTACGTTTTAAATTCGCAACTTTCTTCAAATCAAATATAAATATGACTGAAAACTGTATTTTGTTGACTAGAACCCACTTTCTCTCAGATTACCAGGAAGCATTACTTGTCAGTGGTTTAGTACAGTAGGCTAGTGCCAGACTGAAGGTACATTTTAGCATGCAGATGAAACCCGGGTGAGGAATGGAGGAGGTGTGACGTGACTTCGTTTTTTTCCTGCCTAGTCAAAGGAACATTTCAAACATGACGTCTGACATGGTCACATCTGACTTCAATGAATGTAGAGGTGGAATCTTTAGCATCAGCACACTATTCACTGCGAACATTCCTGGCATACTGGTTGTAATCATCAGCGTTCATTGTGGCTTCCTGATGCTGTTTGCTCGATGTGAACGGTGACACTGTACTGTAACTACTGGCATCATTCTGAACAGCATCAGTAAGATACAGTGATAGCTCTACTTGGAAGTCCTTGCTCTCATTTAGACATTGCTTCCTGATAAGCTGCACACTAGACCAGATGGGCAGTGTGACCTGAGATGTTGGTCACAGCACATGGTTAACTGGTCAACTGCGTAATGGCTCAAACGGTGTGTGTGTGTGTGTGTGTGTGTGTGTGTGTGTGTGTGTGTGTGTGTGTGTGTGTGTGTGTGTATGTATGTATGTATGTATGTATGTATGT